CTTTTCTTATAAAATATTAAAAGAGTTTCTGCCAATATTCTTAATTAGAAAATACCATGATATCACAAAATTATGAGGCTGGAAGGGATATTTTCGGGTCGAGACAGAGAAAATGTATGCTTCCAGCCCAGATCATCAACCTAATTTCCTCCCCTAAAATCTTCGCGGTGCCTGTGGCCAGCTGGTGAGATGTAATTAGGGTAACTGGGCCCATTCTTTGGACCTTCTTCCTTTGATGTGTTTAAAAGGCTGAAAGAAGTGGGAGTTACTTCACCCTGGTTAGCCTGCTTGAGAAATAACATAACTGCAGTGCCCAAAGGCATAAACATTGACTTTTTTTTTCCACTCCTTCAAACAATGACCCATCATCCTGGTCTCGTTGCAATTCCAGAAAAAAATGCCTCACGCTACTTTTCACACAGACTGAATGATTGGGCAGGAGGAATAGAGACAGACAAAACTTTACAACAAAAAATAGTAAATAAAAGATCCACGACCTGCAATTATTAAATCCCCCCCAACACCCACTCTTTCCCTGCAAGACTGCAGCAATCTCGTTTAAAGGCAAAGCCCGGCCTGACGGGACATAAGGCTATTTATAGTCCGTATCGATCCAGCTCGAGATCTGTTTTGCTGCCGACATGTTAATGTGTTTGATTACAGACCTTGCTGAATGTGTCAGATAATATATGCACCGTGTTGCCTTTCTGAAAGAAAACTAACATCCTGAATTCCAAAACATACCTGGCCGAAAGGGCTTCAGATAAGGCATTACGGACCTGTCGTTTGAGGTCATAATCAACGGGTAACCTAGGAAATACCAAACAGCCATTGCAGCCAAGTCTTTTTTTTTTTAATTCATTAGTCTTATTATTATTTGGCTACATTGAAGCAAAGCAAGGAGTAGCCGAGTAGCCCAACTTGGGTGCTCATTGCCCCTGAGCTTTGCTGGGGCAGCCTGGGCTCTGTCTCTGCCTTATCTGCTGTAGTGACACTGGGGGGACAGCCCTGCGGCGGCTGCTCAGGCACAGCCGGTGCAGGTGAAGACCCAGTGGACAGCGAGACCCCCATCAAGGGAGGCCCAAGCTTTACCCCACGTCTGAAATTCCCAGAATATTCAAAGATAATAAAGACCCTACATGAAGACACAAAAATTGCATGTAAAAATGTTGGAACTGAAATTGAAACACTCACAGAAACAGAGACCTGTCTGATGTTGCCAAAGGGGAGGAGGGCTGGGGGACTGGGTGAAAAAGGTGAAGGGATTAAGACACAGAAACTGGGAGCTGCAAACTAGTCCTGGGGATGTAAAGTACGGCATAGGGAATACAGTCCGTAATACTGTAATAGCTATGTGTGGTGCCAGGTGGGTACTGGAAATAGCACCGGGAACGCTCCGTACGGTGTATGATTATCTAAGCCCTATGCTAGACACCTGAAGCTAACACAAAACAATACTGAGTGTAAACTGTACCTGAAAAATTAAAAATGTTTGCACTGACTAAATTAAGCCTTTAAAATATTTCTATTTCTAACAAGTTATTATCACAGTCTCATGTCCACGGCTATGCGAAGGAACTCGGCGCTTCGCGCTGACGGACACGCCCGTTCGCAGCGCCTGAGCGCGGTGCCTCCAGCGCTGGGCAGCGTCTCACTCCCTCCGCCCGAGGCCTCAGCGGCCGCAGGCAACCTCAGAGGGCGTGACGTCGAAGGGCCCGGCCCTGGTGCTTCTGGAAGGCCCCAGACATGAGAAGGGGGCAGGGGAGAGGAGAGAGCCGGGCCCCCTGCTGCGCACTGCCGGGAGGCAGCCCTGCCGTGCCGCTGGGCGTGACCGAGGCCTGTCCCCACGCAGGGAGGCAGGAGAGGACCTCGGCTGTCTGTCGCAGCGCTGAGGATCTCTCCTGAAGGCTGGCTAGTCGGTCCAGGTGGGGAAGGAAGATGCCAGCCCATCAGAAAGGGGCTAAGTTTAGCATCAAAAATCTGTGGGAGTGATGCTGACAAGGGCCGCTGAAGACACTGCTGCTTAATTAAAATCAATTCTCTTTTAACCCTCAGAGCTCTCCTTTCCTGCCGCTGCATGTGACCGTCCTACAGCTAATTTACCTTGGGCCGTGGATTGACGTAGTCATCTGGGTGTTTACAAAGATAACAAAGAGGCATTCGTAGCAGAAAAATAAAAACCAATCTCCTTAAATCCCACAGTAAGGGAGCAGATGAACACAGCACAGCGTATGCGCTCCAGGGAGGGACAAGCAGCTCGGAGACACTGCGCAGGGCAGCCTGGCGACCTGGGATGGCGATGGGGGGAGGCTAAGGGCAGGAAGCCCAGGAGACCAGTCCTTTCCAGGTGGTGATGGTCGCAAACACTTTTCTTTACTTTCTTTCTCTCTCTTTTTTAATGAGGCAAACACATTGGCAAGAAAAGAAGAAGAATTAATCTAATTTTTCAGGTCGTGGGATCTGTAAGTGAATTTTCCCTCTATTCCAAAACTGTTGATGTTCTGTGTGGGGGTGTTTTTTTGGTGGTTATGGGTTTTTATTATTGTGGCTATTGTTCAGTTTGTTTTGGTTTTGTTTAACAGATACATAGGGGCTTTTGATGACAAAGCCTGAGGACCTCTGAGCTAGTCTTGCCCCAAGTTACAGTCAACATGTGGATCAGAAATAAGGGCTGAGCCAGCTCTGGAAACTTGGCTCCTAGCTCTCCTCTGAGTCAACCCAACACTGAACTCCTACCTTTCATTTAATACCAAACCAGCCCTTCAGCCTCCCAAGAAAAACTCACTAGGCCTGGCTTTTATGGCCCTGAGATTTATTTAACTGCTAACAGTTGTTTTATGTACTAAGAGCATACTAAATTATTCGTGTGTATTACCCATATTAAAAGTGTCCTTTAAAAACTGCAGGTATACCTCGGAGATATTGTGGGTTAGCCCCAGACCACCACCATAAAGTGATTGTCACAATAAAGTTAATCGTAATCTTTTTGCTGGTGGAGGGGTTTGCCTTCAATTTGTAAGAAACGCAGCACCTGTGAAGCTCAAGAAAGTGAAGGGCTCTAAACGAGGCACGCCTGGGCTACCATCGAGGCTGCTTGTCCACAGCTTCTCTCATTTTCCTGACCAGCGGATGTGATGTGGGCCTTCCCAGGGTTTTGGGGGGTGGGCGGTGTGAATCTGCATTTCTTTCATATATACGGGGACAAGAGTCAGGAAAATGGGGCTCAGTTTAAAAAGGGAGGGAAGAAAATGGGGAAGACTTTTACCGACCACTGAGTCCCAGCAGAGGCATAAAAAATCCTCTGGGCAGCACGGGCCTCTGATTCTTTGCTCTCCTAGCCACTCATTCTGTAATTTGGATTTTAAATGAATCCCTTAGGCAGGCACCAGGCGACTGGTGTTGAGGGTTCAGATGCTCCTCCAAAGCCGCAGGAACTGGAATTTGAGCCCCCCGTGCTCTAGTCCTAGCAGCAGCAGTGTATCCCCCAAATCCGGAATACCTGAGTTGATTTTCGGCTCACAACCATTCCGGGGCCATGTGACTTCTGAACACTGTGGGGATGTTGCCAACGATGACCCGCCTGACTCACAGGGCGGAGAAAGGGGCAGGTGGGAGTTTGGAGGCAGTTCCTTAGGCCGACTGGCTGACCAGGCCGGAAAGCAAAGTGCCACCTCCCTGTCAGCCCCCAAAATCAGACAGTAAGAAACTGGTGTCAGCCACCGAGGGGTGCTGCCACCTCCAGTGAAGGCGGCCTGTGTGAGTGACCATTACAGTGAGAAGCGCTAGAAAGCCCGGCTGTGGCCCCTGAGTAACAGCTCCAGGCTGGTAGGAATAAGCTTATCAGAAATGGCTGCCTCTCTGTAGTAACATTAGTTCTGACACTGAGCGTCCTTCACGAAACTGCTAATCTGGCACGCACTCATCACGAATACGCTAGTTTTTTGTGAAGGACCAGAAGGAAAGATTTCCTCCCTGCAGTGTCAGCCATCAACTCAGATCCTAACTCCTTTTTAGACAAAAACATTCTTTACCTGCTAATCAAAAAGGTATAGTCATGGCTCCACCCACAGCCTCCACCCCACCCCCTTCCAATCTCCTGCTTTAAGATCAAGTCACTCCTCTGCTTAAAACCTTCTGGCGGCTTCCATCACCCGTCGATTAAAATCCAAGCCACCACCTCCACGGCTCCCCCCTTTCCTTCCCTGCCCCCCAGCCACACCAGCCTTCTTCCTGTGGCGCAAAAGCCACCAGCCTACCCCCGCCTTGGGGCTGCCACTCCTGGTCACCTCGCTGCCGCACACTCCTGACCACTGGTTGCTTTTCACAGCTGAGCTCAGAAATCGCTGCCTCGGCAAGACCTTCCCCGGCTCCCCTATCCCACCCTGTTTATTTTCCTCAGAGCTTTTATCCCTCTCGTAAGCGGTTTATGTCTCCCCACCACAAAAACGGAGAAGGGTTCTGCCTGCCTAGCCCACTGTGTATCTCTAGTACCCGGAGAAACGTGTGGCACATGGTGAGTCCTCAGAAACCATCTGAGGACTGTGAGTGAACTGAATTAATGTGAAGTGAATTAATGTTTTGTGTGTAAACGTGACACTGAGGACACCATCACTAAGGGATGTCGCTGAGTTGACTTTCAGCCTGGGGGACGGGCTGTGCTGATCTATGCCCCCCTCTCCTCAGGGTTCCTTGTTTGTCAAGGGTCCGGGCCAGGGTTGGGGTACAGTAGGCAAAAATGGGACAGAAAAATCAGAGCTGACTCACCTGGACATAAAACCCAAGACATTTCCATCTAACCTTCTAACGGGCCACAGCGGAGAAACCGGGGATGTATTTTGAGCACTCTCGCTTCTTTAAGTTCTGAATTGCCCACCAAAGCCACACGACCTTCCTCTGGACACTTTCTCAGCAGTGAAAATGAAATAAATGGAGAGCGAGCGAGAGGCCAGCTGCTCGCGGAGCAGCCTTCGCTTCTCCGGGGGGCGCCGGGGGCCACGTACCTGTCATGAGGAAGAGGAGCCCCGCCACGTGCTGGGTCAGGCTCTCCTCCCAGAAGAAGCTGACCGTGGCCACGATGCAGCCACACAGCAGGACGGCCACGGCCATGCCCAGGAAGCCGGCGGTGATTCTTCTCAAGTCTAATCTCGAAACACAGACAGACAACCAAATTAATAAGCAGGAGAGTCCTTGAAAATCAGAGGATGAAGGGCTTCATATATGCTGTGAAAATTAATAAGTTACATGGATGGACTGAGGGCCTACAGGGCCGAGGTGGTTTAGGGCACTGTCTTCCCAGGTGTCTCGGAAGAGGCCAGAGGGGGTGTAGCCGGCCGCGAGGGGTCAGAGTCACCCTCTGTGAGCCCGGGGAGAAGTCCATACCACGTAGAGAACAGACCAGGGGGCGGCGCCAGGGTCAACTTGGGTGATAGACAGCAAGTCACTTAGTCAACTGAAAGCAAGGGAGGTTTGCAAAATACCTTTATTATCTTTGAGAGCCATAGAAATGTAGGTTACCACTGTGGCAGTGGCTGTCACTAAAGTGACTTTGGAGAAAGAGCCTAAAAAGTGAGCAAGAGTGAAATATGGTTTCACCTGAGCACCACGGATGCCAGTTATTTTCTTCTTCATTTATATCTACTCCTGCCTGTTTTCTAAAAGGATATGATAAAGTGAAGGCAATCACGGTGACTGAAATAGGGCCCAAAGTGCACATAGGAGACATTTGCTCATATCCGCCCTGTCCCCTTAAACATAGGCCCCGCAACCCAAGCACCCATTGGCCCAGGTTAAGGGGGGACGAGTCCCTCTGTATGCACAGCTGTCAGGTTTGTTCCATCGCAAAAACATAACTGCAATCCCTGGGCCAGGAGCACAGCCCCTGCCCCGCCTTCTGCGCAAAACCAAGGGACGGACTGATACACGCACCTCTACACCCTTCAGCTCCGCTACCCTAAAGCACACTCCAATTGTCCTGCTAGCTTTACTTCTTTCTGTTTTCTTTCTTTTTTTTTTTTTTTTTTCCTTTAACGAAGCCAATTTTTTAAACTGTTAGCTAAATTTCTATGCCTATTCTTAAAACAATAGGTCCCAAGGATAGGTCTGCAGCCCCTGGGACCAGTCAACAGGTCTGGACACACCTGTGACACGTGGAGCCAAGACAAGGGGCACAGCCCACTGCCTGAGCTGCGGGCTGCTTCACTGAAGTGGGAGTGTCCCGGCAGCCGCCACCTCGCTCTGCTCACGCAGCTACCGGCCATCTTAGGGGTGCTCCACAGAGGGGGGACTATGGTAGCTTCCAGGCTTGCCCCTAGTCACACATGGATAAACCATCCCTTTTAAGAAAATTTTCATTTCCAACTCAGAGCATCTAAGTTAAAGCAGGACACTGCTGCCTAAAGGAAGTGTAGACACCACAGAGCGAGGGGCCAGGAGCAGTGGTAATTTAAAGGGGCTGAGTTTAACGTTAAGGGTAAAAGTACTTTTAAGACATCCACACCTGAGCAGGGACAATGTAATAATAGTTCAGTCACTATAATCTCACTACCTCCTAAATTGCCTGTGGTTCAAGTCTTATTTTCTATGACCATTCAAAGGCATAAAGTCCAGCTGTAACCCACATGGGACTTGCATTAGTACCAAGCATGGTAAGCTTCCCTGGTAAACACGGTGCGGATCACCAGGTGGGAGCTTCTTCGAAAGAGCCAGGCATGAGGTTGCTAAAAGCGTCTTTCCATGAGAACCTCAGTGAGGATGAAGAGGGAAGGCCCAGGTACTGTCCTGCTGGGCGGTAACAGGGTACAAACGGTTAGAGTAAAGAGATGGGGTTCCTTTTCAGGTTCCTGTCATGATCTTTCCTGATCTAAAGCAGGTAACTGTGTGGTTCTCCAGACAGATGACGAAAGAACCCCAAACATGCTCCTATAGAATTCAGACGCAAGAAGGCTTAGATTAGACTCTAACTCAGGTCTGCTGAGACATGGTCGTTAAGATCAGCCAGCAAGAAAGAATTTGCAGGAAGTCATACTGTTAAGAAATAAACCACATTTTAGCCAATGACATGCCAATCACGATATTTACCTGTTAGACCATTTGCAACAGAGCTTCTATTTATACGTTGGAGATTCAAAACAGAGCCTTTGATCTGCAGAGAGATTTACTTAGAAAATGAGACCCTGCTTGGTTTTCTGCAGTGGTGTTTGGTCACCAAACAAGATCACTGAGGTCCTTGCTGCTCATTTCATTGGAAAGTGACAATGTCAACCTCTAAGTCGGGTGAATGCTGGAAAGAATTCAGTCTAGCTTCTGCTTTCCTGAGTTACCTATCACCAGGCAGAGTAAACCAACAGTTTTCAAGTAAACATCAGCCCTCTTAAGCATCACGATGCATGATCCTTTCTAGAGTTCCCTATTTTCTAACAGTAGAAAAGGGTAGCATCTGACATCAAAATGTAGACGTAACAGACACCCTCTGAGAAAATTTTGACATATACTCAAAAATATTTTAGCAGAAACACCAAGGTCTGAGATAGACTCAGTAGCTAAAGTGAATATTGTATAAACAAAACAAAAATAGGAGTCCCTAAGGTGTGGTCTCCTTGGTTTACTAAGACAAGTGGCAGAGCAGGCCCTTGTACCTGCAGGTCCTTATACCTGATGACTCGGTAAAGAAAAGACTCTGTGCGTGTCTGCCCCGGTGGCAGATTTTCACACAGCTAGTGCATCCCCGAGTTGTGACCCTGGCACAGGAAATGACTCCCTGAGGCTCTGACCAAGTCGAATTGGGCCTGGTGGCCCATGGGCCATCTTTCAGCCCAAACCTGCGAAGGCTGGGGGAATACTTTTCGTTCAGAAAGACTCCATGTCCCCTCCGACCCTTTCCCCGGATACTCACGGAGCAGGTGCCATTCGTCTTGCTGAATTGTCTTCGTTAAATTGAAAGGAATGTTTCGTAAGCGGATTGGCTGAGAAAAGTGGTACTTGATAGCTGTGCATCGCTGCGCAATACCTTGAAGGGAGGGAGAGAGGTGGGTCAGTGGTCTGCGCCTGTGATAGGACCCTGCAG